AGTGTTCTGTTTGTCAGTTAATAACTGATTACTTTAAAGAAAAAGGAAGCGCTGAGGCAGAAAAGGCTTCAGGGGTTAGCTCATAGTGAAATGGTATCAAGGAGGACTAGTCTGGGTACCAGTGCTCACAGCAATAAATCAGAGGGTCAGAGCAGACGACCAAACCACAGTGTAAACTAGATTGCATATTAGTTACATCAGGGCAGAAGCATGGTCCTGATAACTCCACAACTAGAGAGGGCTGCTGGAGGTGGGTGGTTCTGGATCCCACCAGCTACAGAATGTGAATCTGTGTTTAACAAAATTAAACAGGGATGGGAGGCTCCACTTTCAGGATTCCTTATGTTTAGTTTGTGCAACTGGACAGGATTTGAATTGGGGAATAGATGAAAACAGTCCCGAACGTGCCCATATTCCCTCCTGATAGCTAGCTCACAGTAACAACTACAGAAATCGGAGAGGCCGGGTCGTGTGCATAGCTCTCTTTTGATAGCTGTGCTGATAACCCCTGCCACCCATCATGCTGGAGGATTTTTCAGACATTCTCAGCTTCAGGAAGGTGGCGAAATAAAATAGGGACACTTGTTAAATGCATGCCCTCACCGAGCTGCAGCATGAACGATGTTAATACGAATGGGCACACTTTGCCAGGCGAGCTTGCTTCGTGTTCCAGAACAGCACCACCGATGAGGTCTCCTGACCTTCTGCTTTCTCTTGTCTGTTTCTTAAGCAATTTCTTATATTGTATGTATTTATATGGGATATGTTTTATGCATACAGTACTTCCCTTGTCTCTTTCTGTTCCTGAGCTACTGTGACCCTGCCCTCTAAAAATATTGAAATTTGGCCAAGGTCACAAGCAAGTTGCCGAGACTCAAATCCAGTTCTTTCATTCTCAGCCCTACTCTTCCTGTGCCGCTGACTAATCACCCTGCATTACAGTCCAGTCCGCGACCACGACGTATCAGTGGGGTGGGGGTGGTTCTTCTTTTTAGCCCCTCAAAGAGTTATCCGGAATGTTCTTCCAAATGTCATACTGGATTGCTTCTCTAAAACTCGTACTCATTTTGATTCATGCTGATCAGAATGAAGCTCCCTATGAGCCTGGATTCCTAGCCTCAAAACCCAATTTCTACTCTGAGGAAAATGTTACTGAGTGGCTAATAAAAGGAATCTACATTGACTTTGTTACATATAAATACAAGAAGTTGATTCTTCCCTAGGGAGGGGTGTACATTCGGGTTAATCCCAGGATTGCATGTGGGATTTTTGAGGCTGAATCTGAAAAGGAAATGCTTGTTAGTGGAGTGTGATGGGCTTGATGATTTAGTTCTAGAGTTGTAGCAGGGTCCTTGGCTGTTGTTCCCTTTGGGGCCAGGGGCCAAGTAGGCACAGAGTCAAACCACACAGACTCTGGGAGAATGTCCAAACAACAGCAAGCTTAGTTTATTCAGGAAGAGGCAAGCCTTATGTACCCTCTACCCAGCCCTGGGGGGAGGTCTGATGAATATGCATCTGCTGGTGTGACATGGCTGCCTCTCATTGGTCCAGGTCATCTCTAGATCATGTTTCAGCTGCTGTTGCTAAGACCCTTAGGCAGACTCAGGCTGGCTCTCAGAAAGTATCTCTTTTACTTGGCTGGGCCTCAAGCCTGCTAGGGATGAGTCATCCCACATATCCACCCTTTTTATTATTTTATAAGACATGCTCAGTGGGAGCTAAGGTGCATTGCCCTAACCTTGTTGACCCCACCTCAGGAGAGCTCAGCATAATGGACTGTGTCTGTCTTAGATTGGCTTGCCAAACAAGTTCCTATCCGTCACTGACTACCAGCCCTGGAAGAGCATCCATCCTGGAGAGTTGTCCGGGTGGTGGGCTTTAGGCAGTAGCCTTCTGTATCTCAGTGAGCCATATATGCATTATCTCTCTAGGAGGACTCTGATCTAGGTGTCTGAGAGCCAATGAGACCTGTAGGGTCGCCTTTGTGGCCACCTTCTGTGGTGAACCCTTCTGAAGCTTCTTCTTTGTCCAAAGTCTCTTGGTCTGTTGCCCGACGCACATCTCTGGAGGGTATCCATATCAGTGTGGTGGTATTCTGGGGGAAAATGCAAGCATAGCCTCTACCCTGGGGTTAATAGGGGAACAGAGTGTTGACACTGTATATTAAAATGGGCTCGAGCCTCGGCCTGGTCATCATAGGCAGCTCGCCAATTAAGGAAGACCGCAGGCTCCAACACAGCCTTCATCAAATGGTGCCAGTCATAACAAGCCTGTAAATGCATTGCCCATTGCCATAGGACTTGCTCAAAATACGTCAAGTCAGGACCTGATTCATTAGCAGCCTTACGGACCAAAGACAGGTCTGCAAGAGTGGCAGGTATCCATGGCTGGTTGGCCGCACTGGGGCCCACATTAGCTGGAAATGCCATGGTGGGCATGTGTGGCACCATAGGTGGAATAGGCTGGAAGATATGTGGAGCAGCTGTCTTGGCAGGCAGACATCCATTCAAATCACTCTATGGATACTGCAATGGCGGGGTAGCCACTGGGGGCATGGGAAGAGCAGAGAGAGGGGCTGCCAGTATAGGCTTAGATGCTACTGCAATCATTTCCTCTCTCTTTCCATCCCTTTCCTTCACTTTACGTCTATTCTCATGCCTCTCCTTGCCAGCAGAGGCAGAGGAAATAACAGTCATGGATGGAATGAAGGCAATAGATAAGTTGGTGTTACACTGTTTCTGGCAGTGCTTATTGTGGGCCTGAGGAGAGGATGACTTTAGGCCAGCAATTATAGTCAACAAAATGGGCATAACAAACAATTGGAGAGTTACTCCTGAGGCCACTTGCCTTTTTCTGGCCCAAAACAGAACTCTCATCCAAAGATCAGGTTTCCACATGTTCTCTGGAGAAGCAGCACACATTCTTAACTGTTGAGCCATCTCTTCAGGCATCATAACCCACAAGCACATGCATGCATTCACACACACACACACACACACACACACACACACACACACATACACATACATATACACACATACATAACTAAAAATAGTCAGACTGTGGCTGTGTTGCCTGAGGGTCCAGCCCTCATAAGGAAAGCTAGGCAAGCCTGAACAAAAGTATGTGCCACCCTACCATACAGACAAACTCACAAACAAGACAAACAAAAAGAAGAAAGTGGGGGTCCCAGCATTTACCCACTGAAGGGACCGAATTTACACAACCAACGTAGAGGGGCCTACTTACCGAAATATACCACTCAAGGGGGCTTCTCAGAACCAACCTAGAGGGGCCTATTCACTGAAATGTACCGCTCAAGGGGGCTTCTCAACCAGTGCCGCACATGAGTCAAGGGAGACAAACAGACCCTGTTCGAGTACCAAATGTCCCGGGTTTCGGCACCAGATATAGCAGGGTCCTTTGCTGTTGTTCCCTTTTGGGGGTGGGGGCCAAGTAGGCGCAGAGTCAAACCACACAGACTCTGAGAGAATGTCAAAACAACAAGCTCAGTTTATTCATGAAGAGGCAGGCCTTAAATACCCTCCACACCACCCTGGGGGGGGAGGTCTGATGAATATGCATCTGCTGGTGTGACATGGCTGCCTCTCATTGGTCCAGGTCATCTCCAGATCATGTTTCAGCTGCTGTTGCTAAGACCATTTGGCAGACCCAGGCTGGCTCTCAGGCTGCCTCTCAGAAAGTATCTTTTTTACTTGACTGGGCCTCAACCCTGCTAGGGATGAGTCATCCCTTGTAGAGTCAGGGACCATTCATATCTAAGTCTCATCCTGGCCAGGATGGACATCAAGGTAGGCACCACTGTCATCATCGCCATCACTGGTGTCGGAAAGTTTCAGACTTTGTTCAGTTTGTCAAGGGTATTTTTTTTTTACATAAAATAGTTTAACTTTAAAGTATGTTCAATGTGTCCTTAAAGTAGACACTTATTTTCCTTTAATGAAGTGTTGTTTAAATAATAACACAAGAAGGGGAGATTCACAGGTGGGCTTACACTGTCACTGCAGTAATGGCCCTGCCACTTACAATGGCTTTTGTCTTTGGAAAGAAGGGAAGGGTATCATAACTATAAATGTCATGAGTGTCCCCCAAAGTGAAATGAAAGTGCTAAGTTTGTAATAGAACAAAAGAATTGCAGGAGGAGCAAGGAAGAAAGAAAGGAGGGAGGGAGGGAGGAAGAGAGG